TATGTGATCAGTACTATGTCTTACCCTGCTCTGATCTGTCAATATGTGATCAGTACTATGCGTTACACTGCTCTGATCTGTCAATATGTGATCAGAACTATGCGTTACACTGCTCTGATCTGTCAATATGTGATCAGAACTATGCGTTACACTGCTCTGATCTGTCAATATGTGATCAGTACTATGTGTTACCCTGCTCTGATCTGTCAGTGTGTGATTGATACTGTGTGTTACTTTGCTCTCATCTGTCAGTGTGTGTATTTATTTATGCAATCATGCTTGAATTGGACCTTGTTCCTGTTTTTTCTTTGTCTAAACAGGATTATTGTGACTTGGGACAGTAGCAGTCATGGGCAATTCTGATTCTCATAACCTGTCGGAGAGAAGGTACTATTACGATTTAAACTCAAATGCATCTCAGGTCTAGGACAGCTGGTCCGGCCATTCAAGTCCTGTGCTGTCTTTGGCTCTGGAGTGGCTCTGATCACGTCTCAGTCTCTCTCTCCTCTGCTCCAGCATGTCTTTAGACCCCCTGATTCCTGAGCCTGAGCAGGAGGAGGTAGAGAGCCCCCTGCTGTCAGAGCCTCAGTGCTCCAGCTCCTTGGGCAGTTCCTCCAGGCCTGAAATTATCCAGTGTGACCAAGAGTTCACGAGAGAGGAGGTGAGATGTGGTTTTGTTTTCTGCTGGGTGACACAGAGGCTGGTTTATGGAACGCTGGGTCTCTTCTTCATGACGCCACCAGCCTGCCAACCAGGCTACAGGGGGCATTTTGAAACCCAGATGCACTTGCGCCGCCCTGCTGGGGGTCCTGCAGGTGCAAAGTGTACACCGTGGGATGGGTGGACATTAACTGACCTGTGATCCTCGTGCAGTGGCAAGCACTCTATCGGAGAGAGGCGCCATTCCAGTGAGCATCAGCACTCTGCTCCACACTCCCACTACCCTCTGTGTAAAGACCTCCTGGTCTCAGTTTTAAATGTGTTCCACCTCCAGGGCCCTGGCAGGCCCATTCAGCTGGTCCAGGCCAGGCCTGATGGCTCCCTCCTGTTCCAAGAGGACGTGCTTCGGCAATGTTTCCTGCGCCCAGATGTGAGGGAGACTCCGGTCTGCGTGGTGTCTATTGTCGGGGAGAGGAGGAAGGGCAAGTCCTTCCTCCTCAACTACCTCCTTCGCAAGCTGTCTAACATGGTGAGAGCACCCCACCCCCTCCACTCTCTGTGTAAAGCAGCGTTTTATGGCCCTGGTTGTGAAAGCTCCCTTTCTTGTGGACTCAGGACGAGTGGGACAGGATGAGTGACAGTGAGCCTCTGCGAGGGTTCGAGTGGCGGCCTGGACCTGAGACCATGACGAAGGGTGTGTTCATCTGGAGCCAGCCTCTGTTCCTGGAGACGCAGAAGGGCAAGGCAAGCACCGTCCGAGCTGGGAATTTGTCTGTTATAGGGGGTACGACTCGATGGCTCAGACAGGTGCTGGTCCAACTCAGTCATTCACAGACCCTGCAGGCATCTTGAACAGGCAGGAACAAGAGCTCTTCTGCCCCTCACCAGCCCCTGGGACCCCCTTGTCCACACTCGGGGCATCTGTGTGACAAACCGGAAACCGTTCTCTGCTCAGGAGTGGGAAGATTCAGGTCATTGAGCCATTGGCTGGGCAGCTTGCTCCACACTCCCCCCACCCTTTGTGTAAAGCTCTTCCAGCTGTGTCTTGGTACTGGAGGGGAGGGGGGGGGGACAGATGACCACTGCAGCTCTGCTCTGAACACTCTGTCTCTGTCCCCTCTGTCCAGTTGGC